GCGCTGAGCCGCTGCGCTGTGCCCCGCAGGTCCTGCACCAGGGCCGGGGGACAGGGTCAGCCCCAGGGGAGGACAGCGGGGATGGGGATGGGGACACGCAGGGCTCACCTGGTGCAGCTCCTCATAGGTGATGTAGAGGATGTCCAGGAGCTGCCGCTGGCCCAGCCACCCCTTGACGTGGGCAAACCAGGAGCCGTAGTGCACTGGAGGGGGGGAGGCAGAGGGTGATGGGGGGCACGTGGCTGAACCCCGGCACCCCATGGACCCCCCCCTAAGTCCTTACCGGTGCCCTCCAGGAACTGTGTGAGGAAGGTGTCAAAGGAGCCAGGGTCGGGCAGGAATTTGGCCAAGCCGTGGAAGTGGTAGAAGGAGACGGCGACGTCCTTGGGGTGCCTGGCCACGTAGATCACCTAGGGGGGGGAACAACGTCAGCCCCATGGCCAGGGTGGTTCCCGCTCCAAAAGCCCCATGGGTTTGGCATGTCCCAGCGGGGAGCCCCCAAAATGTCCCAGCTCCCCCTCCTCACCTTGGCCTTGCTGCGCTGCAGCGCGGGGCCCAGAACACGGGCAGGCAGGTGGGTGGTGATGAGACGGGGGGCAGCCGTGTCCCGCAGCGCGCCCCTGAAGTAGATCTGCTCCAGCCAGGGCGCCCGCTCCCAGTTGGGGATGGTCTTGGCTGGGTGGGCGTCCCCGTGGCTGAACAGCAGCGTGAGGATCTCCTGCATCCAGGTGGTGCCTGGGGAGGGGGGCGTCAGGGCAGCGTTGGCATCGTTTGGGGCATGGTATGGTATGGTATGGCATGGCATGGCACGGCATGGCACGGCATGGCATGGGGTGGGGGGGGGTGAAAGATAGCAGCGTGCCCAATTTCCACACACGTATGGTGTGGTGTGGTGTGGTGTGGTATGGTATGGTATGGTATGGCATGGTATGGCATGGCACGGTATGGCACGGTACTGCATGGCATAGCACAGTATAGCATGGTATGGTATGGCATAGCATGGCACAGTATGGCATGGTATGGCACGGCATGGCACTGCATGCCATGGCACAGTATAGCATGGTATGGTATTGCATGGCATGGCATGGCACAGCACAGCATGGCATGACACTGTATGGCATGGTATGGCACAGCACAGCATGGCACGGCACAATATGGCATGGCTCACTACAGAATGACACCATACCTCATGCCACAATGTGATATGGCACAGCACGGCGTGGCACAGCACTGAATGGCTCAGTACAGCACCAGCATGGCATGCTGGTGTATGGCACAGATTGGCACTGCATGGCACTGCGTGGCTCGGCACTGTGTGGCATGGCGCAGCACCCCAGGGCACAGCATTGAGCCAGGCACAGCGTGGCACAGGGCAGCAGTCAGGCTGGTGACCCCCGCATTCCCCACCAGTCACACCAGTCTGGGACTGGGAAAGGGTGGCAGTGGATGTGGCTGCCCCCCACCCACACGGATGGGTTTGGTTTTTTTTGGAGGGGGGG